TTAGTTAGCATGTTAAACAGTGGTAAACAACATCCTTGGCACCACTTTTTTTTAAAACCAATTTTTAGGTTTAGAAGACCAATAAATTCAATTTTTTTCTTACACAGGGCAAATGTAGGTTTAAATGCACATTTTAATACACTTACCTATATTTTGAAAAACAAACAAAAGAACTTTTCCCATAATATAAGGGCAAAAAATTTTCTGCATACCTGCCAAGCTAGTAATTGGTCTGGCTCTAGTTCAGCAGCTTTCTTATAGGCACCCTGGGCCTGGTCAGGTTGTTCTAGCTCAGCTGCAGCAACACCAATAAAAACCCAGGCATTATAGTTATTTTTCTCTTGTTTTAACACTGTCTGTTAAAAAAATTAAAAAAGTTGTTAAATTTTGGAAGTAAATGAACAAACAATAACAAAAAGACAATGTACTTAAGAGTCAGGAAATCTGTATCTACCACTAACTGAGTGGCCTTCAGAATACCACTTAACTTCTCTGGTTTCAGTTTCCTCAGAGAAAGAGGGAGTTGGACAGCATCAGTGATTGTAAGGGGTTTGATTTATGAAGTATACTTTTAAAAAGCTACCCAAATAATCATGACACCTTCACCAAATTCCTCTCCTGGCTCTTTGCAAATACTAGTTATAAAAAGAACAGAAACTACCCAACCATTCTGCCTGCCTCCATCAATGATGCTGTTGAGCATAACTCACAAAATTGTTCTCCATCTCATTTCACTTCATCCAACTCTCCTATTTTCCTTCATCATGACAGTTTCCCCATATTAGACAGATAGATTTTTCACTGAAATTATAGGCTAGGAAAGTAGATTCACCTCAATGTGACTATATCAAATATGTTCAAAATAAACAGTGGTGATGAATGTTTAAACAACACTTGCCAACTGGAATAAAAATTATATGTAGAGATACTGCTTTCAGAAATAACAGTTACTTGCTAAAGTAAAATAAAATAAAGCTTGAAACAGAAAGCAAGTATGTTCTATGGAAAGAAAAACATAACTAGTAGCTAAAATGAAATTTGCCTCTTAATAAGGCTATACATATTCTAGAGAAAATAAGAACATTTCCATGAGTTGAACCAGTCAGATTATTAGGCTTATGTGCATCCGCATAACACTTCTAGCAATCTGTCACCAAAATACAACAAAAGTTCCATAGTATCTGTGAACATTGATTATACAAATTGGGTCATTCTTGTCACACCCAACTAAATCAGAGTTGAAGAGCCAGGAGGAAAAAGTACTCAGGGCACATAGCACCTGTTCTCCAAGAATTAAATTTTCCACAAGCCCAGCCACTGAAGCAGTCTGCTGTAAGAACAGTTTTACCTAAGAACAGTTTTACCTAGTAGCTGCTGAAATGACCTGCAGCTAAGACTGGTTTTACCTACTGCCATCACTCACCAATCAGAGCTTGCCAGCTCCGAAAAGCTTCTCTAGTATCAAGCTAGATTTGTTCTTTCAAAACAATACATAACATTTCTCCTACTAATAAAAAACTCCTAACATTCTCTTTGTTCTTACAGACATACAAAAGATCGCCCAGGCTATGTGTATTCTCCAAATTGCAATTCTTGCTTCCCAAAATAAAATGTTAAATTTAGAGGTTCGTCTCTACATTTTGACTTTGGCATACTCAATAATGCTGCCTCCTAAACCACAACTGTAACCGCCTCTATGAACGAATTTCAATAACTCCTATATATATATTTTTTAATAATCCTTTCCCTTAACTACTTGACCTTTTGAGTTGTTTCCCAGAAATGGTGGATTTTCTGCAAGAAAAAGGAGCTAAGATTCTGAAGGCCCCTGGGTAGATTTCCTGATTCCAAGATTCACAATCCCCCCCCATGCCCCCATGCATGCAGCCCCTTGTTAGTTACATCACACTCTGCCCCAAGGCACGTGGCCCCCTCCTTTAAAAGCCCATGATCTGTGTTAGTCTGAGAGACAGACTTAAGGCAGCTTCTTCCATTCTCCCAACAAGACATCTGTCATAATAAAAGATTCCTTTCTTCCTTGGCCATCCTCGTTGTCTCAATAATTGGATCTTTGTGCAACAATCAATGGACCTAGACCAAATCCTTGCAGTTTCAACAACAATGAGGTAACTACCAAAGTTAAGCTCTAAACACTGGGGCCTTATTAATTCTATGTTCCCAATACCAAGTACAATGGCTGGCATGTAATTGCTGAACAAATGATAAATGCCATACTCAACCAGCAATTAGGAAGTACTGAATATCTATCTGCCTGATGATCAGGTTTTCAGAATCTGAAACAGATTTTTAAGAAAACAGTTACAACAATGTGGTGAAAGCTGGTATGAGGTTCTGAGAGAACACAGGAAAAAAAAAGTACCTAACTGCACAAACCAGAGAAGGCTGCCCTGAAGGGATGCTCATACCAAGTTATAAAGCCCCACAGGTAGACAAGGTAATGATGTCACAAAATCACAGCAAATACACTAAGATGCAACATTTCTTTATTAAAAAATTAATTTAGTCTCAATCAACATTCTGAATTACTACATGTAAGTAATCAGGCATTTGTAACTGATTAGTTCTCCTTTGTGTTTTATAGTTGGTCTCTCCAGTATAAACTATGAGCTAATTGGTGGAATTTATATCTGAATTTTACGGAAAACCTACAGAAAGAAGATGGCTATGGTGCTGCTGTATATAATAATAGAAACAGACTCAGATGCACATTAGTTAAATAAGTCTCCCCTTCTTGCCATCCACCCCCAAACTGCCCCCGGTATGAACAGACTGCCCAACTTCTTCTGTATCAGGCTTAGTACTATCATCGTCTCACAACTCTGCTGGGCTGAGTCACCTCTAGAAACCTAAACCTCACAAGGGCATCCTTTACCCCTAGACTCTCATCCTCATATTACAGTGTATATACCCCAATTTTGCCCAATTCCCTCCCTACCATTCTTCTAAATTCTTCTTTGTGTCCTCTGGGCCTTCCAATCTGAATCAGCTAAGTTCCCTTCATATTTTCAACCTTTCTTTTAACTGCACCAAGTTCTGCCTCAACTAAAACCTGGCTAATTCCCCTATAGATCTTACATGGTACGGCTGACTTCTCTTCTCTTGTATCCCACATAGCACAGGAGCAGGAAGTGAGAAAGGTGTTCTCCTGGCTCACACTGTCACCTACATTCCTCTTCTGCCCCTCTCCTTGAAAAAAATCACTATCATTGAAGCTCAAGTCATCCAACTATAATACTAAAAATATCCTCCTTCTTGCTACCATATACCAAATTCTTAGGAACATCCCTTTTCTTCAGTGAAAATTTTGTATCCTTCTTCTCCATCGTGGTATCTGTATTCGTTCTAACACTCACATTGACATACCATTGAACACCGTGGCCTCTCAGTTACTTAACCGTCACACTACTCAGCCATCCAAAATCTGAATTTCCAACAAGCTATGATTCTGCTCCTCTCCTATCCTCCGAGTTCAATTACAACAGTCCCAGATAACAATTCTTTAAGCTCTGACAGCTCCAATTTTTGATGCCACCCTCTTTTTCCACTACCTACCAGCTCATTTCTCATCCCTTCTTAGCCAGCTTAGACTCCATGACCCATCACTCCCTTGTCATGGCATCCTCAACTCCTTTGCCTCTTTCCTCTCCATCTTTCTCACCATCCATAGTTGAACCTCTTCATGCCCATCTCCAAATCTAAGAAGTGAATATGAAGGGAGAAAACTACAACTGAGTTCACTGATTTCACTTTAATGACCTGAAACTTTAAATGGGCAATCACCAGGCCTGCCAATCTTTCCAATCCTTACTGTAAGTTTGTTTTCAATAAACATCTATTTCGTATCTTCTTTTGTCTCTAACCTCCTATACAAGTCCTCATCCAGTCTTAGCTTATACTTCACCAAGAAAATAGAAGCCACTGGAGAAGAAGGCTCTTACCTTCCCACCACCAAATCTACAAACCTGACACTATGGATCTGCACCTATCTTCTCTCCTGCTAAGATTGAGGAAGAGTTAGAGCTCTGGATCTCCTCATCTCTCACCCATGGATGACTTCACTCCTACCACTACCCTCTGTCTCTCCTGTGCATTCAATTTCTTCCTCTGAATGGAAACATTCCCATCATAACACAAAGGAGCTTCAGAATCTTGATTTTCCCATCCCCAAACCAAATAGAATCAGAATGTCAACATACCATTAAAGAATGAAAACTTTAAGATACAGTAGCATTCCATTTTACAACCACCAAAAGACACCTATGGTATATTCATGTTTTAAAAACTTGGCTTTGGTAAATTACCGATACAGAGAAAGACAAAATTGTGGCAAAGTAGTTTATCCTATTAATTGGGGGTTATTAATTAGTTCAATCACTCTAATGGTTCTACTAAATGGCCTTAGCACTTTTGTTGCATTTGGAAAGTAAATAACTCTCATATTAAAAATAAATAATGTTTATAAATGGATAACATACTTTTATTGTGGAAGAAAAAATATTGGTTACCTTACAATGTTTCAAAGCTTCTTTGTATTCTTTGTTTCTGATTGCATCTCTAGCACTTTTTAGAGCAGTCTTCACTTCCTTGCTGGACATTCTGTTAAGGCAAAAAGCCTGAGTGAACATAGAATAGTACCTACCTAACTGTAATGGTTCCAATAAATTTAACCATCTGAAAAAGAAATCTAAAAAGGGGGAAGATTCATTCTATTTGGAACAGTCTTCCCCCCAGAATACACACAGCTTATTCCCTTACCTCTTTGGATTTTTACCCAAATGTCCCTTCCTTAAACACAGTATTTAAAATTTTAATCTTTCTATCCCCCTTCTCCCAAATACCTAATATTCCCTGAACCCCTTCCCTTGCTTTATTTTTCTTCAAAGTACTTATCACTTCTAGGATACTATATATTCTACTTATTTACCTTATTTATCATCTGTGTCCCAACCCCACCAGAATGCAAATTCCATGCAGGCAAGGATTTTGGGGTTTTTTTTTTCCCATTAACTCATCCTCAAGACTAGTACCTGACAAATCATAGATGATCAATAAATATATATTGAAACCGAGCTATATCTGAATTACACTCATTCTCCATATATTTGGCTAAAACACAGATGATCTTATGGACTAGGACCCAAAACACATACCAATCTCAATCCAATTCTATACTAAGCAAGACCCGGTAGAATAAGCCCAAGTCACAGAGTAAAACAGTAACACAAATAATTTCAGTATCTATGATGGGATAGAGGGTAAGAAAGCATTCTGTTTTAATGCTAGTTTCTACAAAACACAAATCAGGATATTAACTTTCTTCACAGTAAGGATTATTATTAAATTGTTACCTATATCGTCTCTAAAGAGAAATAAATGCAATGTTTAAATCTGAATGGAAGCAATGCATATGCAAAGGAATTGTACACTAATTTCAGCCATAAAAAGATATTTTAATTTAATTTCATTTAATCTTAAGATATATTAATTTAATTTTAAATAAATTAGTATACTTTAAGATTTTACAACTTATTGTGGTTTACTAGTAAACAAGTCAAATTCAATCACAATTCAATGTTGAAAAAAAATTTGTATTTTCTGTCATCTCCATTTACTCTAATCTCATTAGGAAGTAAAACAAAGCTAGGTAAATATTAAGTAGTTACAGACTAAAGATGTTCAAGGCAGCAAAATGAACTAAAAAGATGGATCATTAGCACAGTATACTGACAGTCCTTTACAACCAAAAAAAGAAGGCTAACATAGAAGTACAAGGCCAAAGAAGTTTGTGAAACTAGAGATTAAAAAATAATCTTTTTGACTTAAAAAATTTGGCATTCAAAATAATCTAAAAGTTAAGATACCATAAAATCAATTTATCTACAGCTAGAACCAGATTCCCCAAATAGATGGCAGAAAAATAACTTTTTTGCCTAGTTACAATTGTATAATTTAAAGCAATATATTTCATATGCTCTCATTTTATAAAATCACTACCTTACCTGAAATTATCTTGATATAAATTTATAGGTGAAAACTTCAGAAGGATTTTTTGCAGTCTACAAATTCTAATTGGAGTAGGTAACAAATTTCAATGCTAATTTCACATTAAATTTTCTCAAACCAGTTACTGTCAGTAAAAAAACCTGCAGACTAAAAAGAAGAGAACATCAATGATGATGACAACCGATCTGGATCAATGAAAAGAGATGAAGACACACACTCTAGAGGAAAAAAAAAAAAATTTTTAAATGAAAAATAAATAAAAGACACTCCAATAAAAAATCAAAAGATGACCAAATTAAAAAAGAACAAAAATAGTTTCAAGGTAAGACCACATTAAAAACAAACGGAAGATACCAACCATTCCAGAAGAAAGATCACCATTTCTTCTACCACCCGACATTTAAGTGGGCACATTACAAACTAGGCAGAACCAATCAGAACTAAAAGTATATGCAGCTCCCAACCTACTCACTGCACATGACATAAGACAGGAGAAAAGGTCCCAGTTCTAAAGAACATAATCTAAATCAAGAGAAAGACCTAAGACATGTAAGTTATTATAGAATCAAATGGTAAACTAAGGATAATGAATGAAAGTACAAGAGGAATTAGGAGACGAAAAGGTGTGGTGTGATATAGTTAACAGCTACTAGATGAAGACAAGAGAGAAGAAGGAAAACTACTCTAGTCAGAGGCGACTGCACTAGCAAAGTGAGAGCGATAGGAATGTGTGGCAAATATAGGAAAATGTAAAAAAAAAAAAAAAACAGGCTAAAAGGATCAGAAGGGATTTATTTAAGAACAAAAATTAGGTTGGGTAGGTAAGAAAATTAGGTTGGGCAGAGCCTAAGATTACAGATCTTGAAATAGACAGACAAATTTGGACTTAAATACCACAGCAAATAGGGAGCCATTAAAACTTCTAAGCAGGTTATTTTTAAAGACCACTGTATTTTAAAGTTGAAGAAACAAACTCCATTTTCTCTTGGTAACCAATTCTAATACTCAATATACTTCCACGTCTGTACATCTCCATGTATAATTATTAATACAATTCCTCATGCTGCAGTAGAATCCTCTGTTCTTCTCTTCCTATTCCTTCTTCATTTGACACAACATTAGTATAAGAGGCTAGCACTGAAGCATTCTCTCTTCACCCAGTATGTATTTATATACAGATGTATACATATATGGTTGCACATGTATATGTATACATACACGTACATATATACATATACGTATGTGTACATAAGTTTCAGGAGGTTAATTTTTAAAATGACAATCTGGCCTTTTCTACCTATGAAAACTATTACTTCCTCTTTTTTTTTAAGGCAAAAAGGAGAGGTTCATTAATTTCCTAAACAAACCTTTACTGAGGTCTAATCATCTACTAGGTACCATTCAAACCCACTTTTCTTTCACAGAATAAAAACCTGCTACTCAAAATGATTCCATGTAACCCCACATTCCTTTATTTTGGATACTTCTCTCAATTCTAAGCATTTCTAACACTTCAAAAAAGATCTAGCTGTCTTGCAAGTGTCTTTATTTTTCTTTTAGAGATGGGGTCTTGTTCTGTCACCCAGGCTGGAGTACAGTGGCTCACAGCTCACTGTAACCTCAAACTCTTGGGATCAAGCAATCCTCCTGCCTCAGCCTCCCAAGTAGCTGGGACTACAAGCATGTGCCACCATGACCAGCTAATTTTTTTTATTTTTTGTAGAGACAGAATCTCACTCTGTTGCCGAGGCTGGTCTTGAACTCCTGGCCTTAAGCAATCCTTCCACCTCGGCTCCCCGAAGTGCTGAACTTATGGGTGTTGACCACCGCACCTGGCCCAAGTATCTTTAACATTCTTCTACAAAATCCTATTAATACTTGCCCATTATACCTCTCCTCCCATTTTTGTCCTCAATCTCAACTGATTTTTTAAAACAGGAACATTCATTTTGCACACTTTCACTCAGTAAAGTTTTTCAACTACCAACCTGAAAGCTTTTTATCCAACATAAATTGAGCTTAAAAAGTAGCAACAACTGTACTTAAGGTTATTAGGCTATTAAGTATGAAATGTCTAATTTCCTTAAGTACTAAGTTTGACAGCTGCTATCGCTGACATTTCACTTCGACACTTCTTTTTTTATTTTTACTGTGAAGGTACATCCTCATGCTTTCAAACGTCAGATGTGGCTTATGATTATCTTTCAATTTTTTTTTTTGGAGCAATTTTTGTGAAACCAGGGGTAAGTTAAAAATTCATGTTATTTTTGAATATGAGTTCCATCGTGGAACCAATGCTGCACAGACAGCTCAAAATATCAATGAAACATTTGGGAAGGATGTGGCTAATGAACGCACAGTACATCGATGGTTTGAGAAGTTCCATTCTGGTGAGTTGAATCTTGAAAATGAGCCACATGGGCAACCTGAGACCAAGGTGGATAATGAAGACCTGAAAGCTGTGGTGGAAAAGAATCCATCTCAATCTATGTGTGAATTAGCAGCAAGGTTTGACATTACTATTCCAAGAATATTGGACCATTTGAAACAAATGGGCAAGGTAAAGAAGCTCAATGCATGCGTACTGCATGAATTAAACGAGCATCAGAAGAGAAATTGTCTCGAAGCTCGCCTTTCTTTGCTGTCACGACATAAAGGTGAACCATGTCTACACCGGATTGTTACACGTGATGAAAAATGGATTCTTTCTGACAATCACAAGTTTGGCACAATAACTGGACAAAGACTAAGTGCCAAAACACAGTCCAAAACTAAATATTCATCAAAAAAAGCTAACAGCAAAGGCAATATATGTAACCTAAACATTTGTATCCCTGTAATATGCTGGGGGAAAAAAAAGCTAATGGTGTCTGTTAATGGTCCAGCGCTGGCACTATCCACTACAGCTTCAGGAGACCTGGTCAATCAATGACAGCAGATGTCTACTACAACCAACTGGACAAAATGATGAGGATGTCTGCAATTAAGCAGCCGAGACTGGTCCATAGAGACAGGAAAATCTTTTTGCAAGACAATACTCGACCACATGTTGCAAAAACAATGCTGTTCAAACTACGGAAGCTGGACTTGGAAACTGTTATCCACCATATTCACCAGACCTTGCACCAACTACCACTTCTTCCAGGCTTTGGACCACTTCTTTGAAAGAAAAATATTCAATTCTCAACAAGCTATAGCAAACGCCTTCTGCAATTTAATCACCACTTGCTCTCCAGGATTCTTTGCTGCTGGCATAAACAAGCTACCATTAAGATGGCAAAACTGTGTCAACAGTTTAGGCGCATACTTTGATTGTCTGTACCACTTCTGGTTTGAGATATAATAAACTTTTGATTCAAAATCAGACATTTCATATTTAATGACCCAATAGAAAAGTGACACTCATGCCATAAACACAATGATATCCCTCAAAGCTAACGAACACAGGTAAATGAATTGCTATGTCCTGCTGTCCCCAGCTGAAGATATAGAATCTTAAGCTATATTTCATTATGCTCGTACAAAGATTCCACAAAGCAAAAACAATATTAGTAATAGTAATGATAATGACAATGGAAGCTAATTATAAGAA